GGGGCACGTTGGGGCGCGTTGAGGCGCACTGTGGCGCTTTGAGACACGTTGAGGTGCGTTGCAGCACGCTGAGGCACATTGAGGCGTGTTGAAGTGTGTTTGGGCGCAGTGCAGCGCATTGTGGCGCACTGAGGTGTGTTCAGGCACAGTGCAGCACTTTGAGACACATTGAGGTGCGTTTAGATGTGTTGCGGTGCATTGAGGTGCACTGAGGTGTGCTCAGGGGTGGTGCAGTGCGTTGCAGCACGTTGCGGCACAGTGAGGAATGCTTTGGCGCTTTGAGACACGTTGAGGTGTGTTGCAGCGAGCTGAGGTGCGCTGAGGCACACTGAGGTGTGTTCAGGCATGGTGCAGTGCTTTGAGAAACGTTGAGGCGCATTGAGACGCTTTGAAGTGTGTTGCAGCGAGCTGAGGCCCATTGAGGTGTGCTCAGGCACAGTGCAGCGTGTTGCGGCGTGTTGAGGTGGGTTCAGGCGCAGTGCAGCGTGCTGAGGCGCATTGCGGCGCATAGAGGTCTGTTCAGGCGCGGTGCAGTGCGTTGCGGCGCATTGGGGTGTGTTCAGGCGCGGTGCAGCGCTTTGAGACACATTGAGGCGCACTGAGGTGTGTTCAGGCATGGTGCGGCGTGTTGAGACGCATTGAGGCGCGTTGAGGTGTGTTCAGGCATGGTGCGGCGTGTTGAGACGCATTGAGGCACATTGAGGTGTGTTCAGGCATGGTGCGGCGTGTTGAGGTGTGTTCAGGTGCGGTGCAGCGCGCTGAGGTGCATTGAGGCACATTGAGGTGTGTTCAGGCATGGTGCGGCGTGTTGAGACGCATTGAGGCACATTGAGGTGTGTTCAGGCATGGTGCGGCGTGTTGAGGTGTGTTCAGGTGCGGTGCGGCGCGCTGAGACGCATTGAGGCACATTGAGGTGTGTTCAGGCATGGTGCGGCGTGTTGAGGTGTGTTCAGGCATGGTGCAGCGCGCTGAGGCGCATTGAGGCATGTTGATGTGTGTTCAGGCGTGTTGCGGCGTGTTGAGGTGTGTTCAGGCGTGTTGCAGTGCGTTGAGGCACGCTGCTGCGTGCTCCAGCCAGGCCACAGGAGCTTGTGCCCCTGTTCCCTGATGGTTTGCGTGTGCCTGGAAATCATGTCCTTTGAGGACCTGGTTTTGTCATTTACTTAGTTTCGAGGATGAATATGGCAAAGTAAATTATTTATTAAAGTTGATACAGGTCCTGAGCTGTGGTTTCCTTCTCATACTCACATATTAAAATTAATAAGAAATGAAGCTTTTAACAGTTTAAACAGCATTTGCCCCTATGGTACTAAGAGTAGGAGTCCTTTCTTATTTTGTGAATTATTTAGTAGTGATATAAATATTTTTAAACTCCAAATTGTGGAGAGTCTCTTTGTTTTTGCTTACTTGTTTGTGTTTTAAACCCAGTTGTATTTTCAAGCATTAGTGGAGTCTTCTTAGAGAAGTCTGGATGTGTCCTTGCAATGTCCCAAAGTGTCAAATGGCTTTCGCTTGCCCATACTGACTGCCGCTGCTGGTACCTGCTGCCAGGGAGGCCAGGAAGAAGGCACTCTAATCGGGGTGTATATGGCGTGAATTGTGATGTCCCTGTGATTGAAGGTGGTGGAACCTGCAATGAGTAAATATACAGATTCTTGCTAGTATTTTGCATACAGTTTTGCACTTCTATAGTATATATTCACATGGGTGTAAGTTGCATAAGATACAGTAGTCAAGCTGTGTTCAGTGGTACCAGGAGGTCACATGGCTGGTGATGCCAGTGAGTGTTGCACATGGTGATTCCCAGATCACAGTTTCTCCTGATGAGCAGCTTCGATGCCAGCAAAGCCTCCCTGCCCAGTACCAACTACCTACAGCCCACACAGGTGATAAGGTCATGCGTAGGCTTCTTAGCCCTGCCTCTAAATTTGTGTAGGAAATTGCAGTACCTGACAACAAACTCAGGCTTGAAGTCTGGTAGGAGTCAGTAGCTGCCTATACCAAAGGCATGGTCTGGGATTCATATTATTCCCTCTGTTGCTGTTGTAGTCGCTCATTAGAAGAGAAGGGTAGAAGTAGTGTAACTGCAGAAAATCTCAGTGCAGAGCAAACTCAGGGTGACCCAAACTGCTTTTACCAAACTTCATACAGCAGCAAATTTGTGTTGTAATGGACATGTCCACTTCTGCTGCTGCAGCAGCTCTTCACATATCCCCATATCCACAAATAAATGCAGATAGTGCCTCTGTGAAAGGTAAGAGCGTAGTGCTATTTGTGTGTTTATACAGTATTTACTGGAGGGGGAGAAAAAGGAGGAGTGAGATTCTAAGATATTAGCAGGCACTGATATTAAAAGTGACTTAAAAACCTTGCAATTACTAAGACCTGATGGCAGCAATGTGTATCTTTTAATAGTCTGTAACCTTTGTCATGTATAGTGCAGGTGATGCCTGTGCCGTGATGTTTTAAGTATGGGTGAGGACATGGACTGTAAGCAGAAGAAACACCGATCAGTTGGATTCGAGTGGTGACAGATAAAGTGCTCATGCTTTGTAAATATCTGTCCTTCAGTATAGCTGCCCGCACATCAGTTGGTCTGAATTCAGTAGGTGTCTTCATCATGATGAGGATGACCTGAATTCCTCATGAACTTAAGTGTCTACTTAATGCGCAGTGCTAAATATCTGAACATTTTGAGAAATGTTTCATACAGCCAAAGAGATGGAGCGGGGAGTTACTTAAAGCCATACAACAGGAGACAACTAGACGTGTATGTGATAGGTTTCAGGACATGTGACTATAATCCTCAATGATTTCAAGACCATAAGCGCTCTTAAATGTACTTAATTAACCTTAATGCTTACCAGCACGTACAGCAAACACCCACTGAAACACAATGCAGCTTGTAACTCATTGAACTGTTGCGGTTTTTGATGCTCTTCACTGATTCTCTGTTTTTGCCAGGGTTGAATAGCATAGAGAAGAAAAAAATAGGGTTTCACATTCATCTTAATAAAACAGGGTTTCTGGTTTGTCAGTCCTCCTCTTGCAGAATACAAGGGAAGCAGTAAGTTTGATGTGCTGTGAGTGTAAAAAGCCCTGATCCAAACACCAGCCTTACTCTTAGGCCGTTTTACCCAACTTTCTCTTGAGCAGTGCACAGCAGTAAGTTGTAAAGAAATCTGTTGTTGCATAGCTGGTAAGAAACTTCTGCTCAGGAGCCCTTGGTCATCATGAAAGGCTCTATCAAGGAGAGGAGTCTGTCCTCACCTGAAGCTATTCAGTGTCTTGTTAATGGCTTGGATGATAGAATAATGAGGACTTTATATTATCAGAACATCAGAAAATGGAATGGCATTCAAGCACTTTCAAAAAGAAAATTAGATTCAAAACGATCTAAGCAAATTGGGACAGTGGCATAAAGTAGGCAGCTCACCAGTAACAGATAGAAGCATGGCACCTTGTGAAAAAATGTGGTACTACCAGGTCGTAACCTTAAATGTGCATCACCAATATCATAGTGTATTGACAGAGTAAGTCTCAACTAGTGGCAATGTACAAAAACAGGAGTGGCATAGCTTGGTGTGATCAAAGGTATCCTGCCCGTCTATTTTCCACTACCACAGCCTTAAAAGGAAGATTTTACCCAGTTTTGGTTATCAAATATCAAGAAAAAGGGGGAATTTCCTTTCTGCGAGAGAGAGCCATAGCCAAGCAGGAGAGGTTCAGACACTTGTAACCTGAGAAATGTAACCTGAGAGAAAAAGAAAAAAAAGATTTTTTTCATGCAGAGGAGTGGAAACTGCAGCAGGCATCTTTAAATGCATCTGAGTTAGAGGAGAAAAGGAAGGTAGCAAAATGGTTTACATTTTGTATGGACAGGATGCAGCAGTCATCAGATTCAAAGGAGGTTCAGAGTCAGACCAAGGGTTCCTGAGCTCTGCAGTAGAAATACAAAGATGCAGTGGAAAATGGGACAGCAGGTTGAAAGATTTGGGCTCCTCTATAGGTAAAAGGAAAAAATGTCCAAGAGGATAGCAGAGCATGGGCATAGATTTCCTGAGGAAGTTAAGGGATCTTCATCAGAATTTATACAGCATTCTTGAAATGGTTTAGGGATAGATGCCTTCCTGGCCTCCGCATAGATTTGGCTGGATCCAGCTGGTGTGCTTTGCGATTTAAAATCTGTGTTTATTTTGGCTCTTGGGACCAGTTACAATTTCTGATAGGTTTCAGACTCTTCCTCTCCTCTTTTTCTCTCTCTCCCTTCCAGTCTCAAGCCCTTCTCTGCTTCTCTCTTTGAATTGCCAGTCCCTTTAAATATCTCCTCATTTTATGATTAAAATAAATGAAAATGGAAAAAAATTGAGGGATTCATTATTTATTTTTTATATTCCTATATTTTTTTTTGTCATAAATGAAGTGAAAGAAGGAGCAGGAAAAAAAGAGCTTTTTTTTTTTTTCCCTAATTATTTAACCATAATCTTACTTACTGTCTTTCTAGTCTACCTTCAGTGACCACATAGTCTGTGTTTGTAATAGTGCTCCAGCAGCTGGATTCCTGGGTATTGGTCATTCCTAAAGCATCTCGACCAGTCTGCACAGCAGGAGTATTGCATAGCATTATTGCAGTCTGGTGTTAATACTGTGAAAAATTGTGACTTTTTGGGGGGATAGTAAAAGGCGGTACTCTTACATACATACACACACACACACACACACACATATATATATAGTAGATCGTGCTTTAAAGCGTATATTTTATGTTGATTCATTAATTCACAAGTACTTCTTGCACTGATTGACATTGCTACTAAGGCAAATATACAGTTCTTAGGATGCAAACACAATTTTCTAAAGACCAAATTTTGACAGAATTGTATGCAGATGATTGATTTTTTTGTGTGTGTTTTGTTTTTTTTCCCTTCCTTCCTTCCTGCCTTCCTTCCTTCCTTCCTTCCTTCCTTCCTTCCTTCCTTCCTTCCGCCCGGCGCTTTCAGCTCGCTGTGAGGTGGTTGGAACACAACTGCCGTTTCCAGTACATGGACGAGCTTCTGCAGTATGTCCGCTTCGGCCTTATGGATGTGGATACACTGCACTCCGTAGCCCTTTCCCATCCGCTCGTCCAAGCTAGCGAGACGGCCACGGCGCTTGTCAACGAGGCCCTGGCCTACCACGAGAGCATCTATGCGCAGCCCGTGTGGCAGACCGGGAGGACGAGGCCGCGCTTCCAGTCGGACACCCTGTACATCATCGGCGGGAAGAAGCGCGAGGTCTGCAAGGTGAAGGAGCTGCGCTACTTCAACCCCGTGGATCAGGAGAACGTGCACATCGCCGGCATCGCCAACTGGAGCGAGCTGGCGCCCATGCCCGTGGGCAGAAGCCACCACTGCGTCGCTGTGATGGGAGACTTCCTTTTCGTGGCCGGGGGAGAGGCTGAGCAGGCCACGGGGCGCACGTGCGCCGTGAGGACGGCCTGTCGCTACGACCTGCGCACGGACGCGTGGGCCGACATCGCCCCCATGAAGAACTGCCGGGAGCACTTTGTGCTGGGCGCCGTGGGCGACTTCCTCTACGCCGCCGGGGGCAGGAACGAGCTGCGCCAGGTTCTCCCCACCGTGGAACGGTACTGCCCCAAGAAGAACAAGTGGACCTTTGTACAGTCCTTTGACCGGTCCCTTTCATGCCATGCGGGATATGTGGTGGATGGGCTTCTTTGGATATCAGGTAGAAAACGTTTCACACAATTCGAGGTACTAACAAAATACGAAATATTGTCTCCAGTGAAACTAACAAATGTTTTTTTGGTTTACATGGCAGGGTAACTTTTGCCTTAGGAGATTGGCATTTCAAAGAATTTAAGCCGGAATGCATGTAATGAAGCCTGGTCAGAAGTATAGGAGTGTTACACACCTATGCAATATTTTGTGTCTCCTGAATACCCCTGTGTTCAAAGCTGCATACAGCACATGTGCTGCTTCCAGTCACCATTCATAAATCACAGTGAATGAAAATGGTTGCCAACTTCTTGGCAAATGTGGGTTTGTGCTTGCTGAAGAGAACAGCAGAAAAGCAAAACCCGGGTTCTGTGGTGTGATCCGGTCTCGTGCGTTTACTCCTGACAGTGAAACGGTGACCGAACTGCTTGTGGGTCTGTGTGGATGGATCCACAGGGCTGCCTGGCAGGAGTGCACCGGGCTGCCTGGTGAAATCGTAGCGTCGTGGCGCACACCCGTGAGTAAAGGCTTCGTAATCGTAACCCAGCGCAAGTCACTTGGAACTCCGTCTGATGCACTTTTTTATTTTACATGTGCACGTTGGTAGGAGTTGAGAACGCTGTCGTGAGCCTTCGTTGTGGCTTATGTGGCGTGGGTTGTCTTGGAAAAAGGTCAGTGCTGTCTACCTAAGATCTGAGAGACAAAAAAATCCTTTCAGTAAGGAATGTGTCATGGAAAGTTATAAAGTTGTAATATTTATGAGGGAAGGTAATGAGTAAATGAGTCTAACCCTTGAAGAAAATGTGCAGTGATTGCTGTCTTCACTGTAGAAGCCCTCTGGGAGGCTTCATATGGTGTGGGATCCTGCTGGCGAACAGAAGGTACCTGAATGAAAGAAGAAATTGGCTACTTATGCCGTGACTGCTTCCCAGCATATGTCACGGAGGTGAGCGGGGCTCCTCACAGATGTATCCTTCTTCCTATGTGGATTGAGTGCCAAAGGAGGGTGGCTTCCCACGCAGTGGTGGGGAAGTGGCAGGTCTCTGTGCTTATACATGTGCACTAAAATCGCAAGTGAAGGGTTTGGAATGAAGGGCAGCACAGCACGCGCGGGGCCCAAGGAGCCCCGAGAGGCGCCTCGTGCTACCAGCCGCCGTCGAGGGGGTCGGGGGGCCCTGCGCCCTGTGCGAGTCCCGCGGAGCAGGAGCGGAGACACAAGCTCTGCTCTAGGGTGCAGCCGGGCGGGTCAGGCCTCAGCGGGTCCCTCCCCAGTTTGGCAGGGCGGAGAGGGGAGAGGAGGGCCTGCACCCCGCAATGTGCTGCGCTTGCTGCGTCTCGAGGGCTGTTCTTCTCTCGCCTTCCCACCTCTCGTAGCTTATGTTTGGCAGGTTTTATTAATGAGAAAGGAGCTTTTTAAGAAATTGTGTTAAACAGATGCGTATAAAAACTGAGAGGACTAGAGGCACTCATCAGAGTGTGGTCCTTGCTCCGATACATGAAAAAAAAAGCTGTCTTAATTTCATTTTTTCTTTAACAAGAAGGAGCAAGAAAATGTTTATTTTGATTGAGATTTTTGAGGGTGCCTGTGGGGTTGGTTGCAGATTGCATCTTTCCGCGTGTGTGTGTGTTTGTGTGTGTGTGTGAGCCATTTGCTTAAACAATATCTGCTTTTATGTTATGAACCGGAGTGATGCTGCGTTTAAAGATGTGCTGCTAATACAACAGTAGAAGCGGAGCAAGAAGTAAGTGGAAGACAACAGGAAGATGATGTGCTTGCAATCGGGCAAAGCAACAAAAATATCCAGTCAGCTGTGTTCCTTTTATACCTGAAAATACTGCTAGCAAATTTTCTGTTTGTGGTGGCATATAATGGCATATATACAGTGGCATATAGTAGTCGCAGTAAGGAGGAGTGTTTGACAGTCGAATGAACTAGGCAGGACTTCTCGGTTGTATTTTGGATAGTTGTTGCCTTTGGAGAAAATTCTCCGCGGTTTTGAGTTGCCGGATGCTGCCAGCGTCGTGGGAGCAGCGGGAGCGCCTGGTGCGATGCTTCAGTGCGGTGCTGATCTGCACTGCGTTCGCACGGACTGAAAACTGGGTTATATGTATTGAAAGCAGTTATTTCAAAAATAGAAGTAGATGCAGATGCAAAGACTGTAGCTAGCTCTCTATTATTAATTAATTGCTTAGGGCCAGAAACTAGCTCTTTCTACATGTACATTCAGGGAGAGGGCAGTGGTAGAGAGAGATGTTTTAGTGTTCCAAAGTATCTGTAGTCACTGCTGAACAAACCCACTGTTCCATTATGAAATATAAGGTGGTAGAATAAGAGTATTCTGTAAAGGAGGAAGAAAACTAATAATATGTGGCCTAAAATTAAGTAGCTAGAAAACTGTTCTGAGCTAGAGGAGCTTCTGAGCTCTGTTCCTGCTCCTTTTGGCGGCTGGTCAGCAAGAGCTTTTAAGGTCAGGCTGATACAACCAACTGGCAAAGTAACCACGAGAATTTGTCCAGGTTTTTATAAGTGAATAAACTAAATAGTGATAATAAAAGTTTCCAGTCCCCGGATTTGTGGAGAGACACCTCAAGATGTGACCTGCACTCAAAGAGCCGGAATGCCCGTCCGCGTTCTGCAGGAGCAGATGGAGGGCTTCCCTGTTGCCCTGTTACCAGTGCAGGGTGTGGGGAGTTGTTGCCAGCTTCATCCCAATTTATATTTGTGTCATGATTTGCTCTTGTCCTTTTTTTTTTTTTTTTTACAGCCCTTTAGTTTAGTTTAGTTTAGAGTTGAAAAGTGGATGAGAATTCATTAAAATAAGTCTCCTGCCTTGACAGAGCAGCACTGGGCAGATGGCTTTGAAGTTTTCCGGGGCACTGAAGGTTGCAGGCCCAGCTGGCAGCCGACGCGCGACCCTCCCTCCTCGCGGCGCCCGGCAGCCCCTGCGAC